ACAATGTCTCTGACCCCCATGTCAGAGGGAAGCAGCAAAGCATACATAAAAAAAAAAAAAAAAAAAAAAAACCTAACCTAAACTAACCTAACCTAACCTAACCTAACCTAACCTAACCTAACCTAACCTAACCTAACCTAACCTAACCTAACCTAACCTAACCTAACCTAACCTAACCTAACCTAACCTAACCTAACCTAACCTAACCTAACCTAACCTAACCTAACCTAACCTAACCTAACCTAACCTAACCTAACCTAACCGCACCTATAAATTCGCTAATAACTTTCCCAAAAATTGGTATTTTTCGTTCAAATCTTCTTTAAATTGTGTAGTTAATTGATCCCCATATTTGATTATATTTTTTTTAGTAAATTCTTAACGTTATATATTTAATTTTCATTTTTTCCGTCTATTATTTACTTAAATTCAACAATAAAAACACGTATTCATCCATTGCTCGGCTGAAAATTGGCCTTTTCCTCTTAAATTTTCTATTTAAATAGTGTAACTAACTACCCCCCGTATTCCTGTATAATTTTCTTGGTAAATTCCTAACGTTATATATATAATTTTCATATTTTCCGTCTCTTAATTACGTAAATTCATTAATAAAAACACGTATTCATCTATAACTCGGCTGAAAAGTGGCCTTTTCCGTTTAAATTTTCTTTTTTAAATAGTGTATTTAACCGCCCCCCGTATTTATCTATAGTTTTTATAGTAAATTTCTGTCGTTAAAATATTGATTTTCACAAAATTCGTTTTCCTATACTCGTAATTTCCTAAAATTTTTAAAAATTTTCAAATCTTCCTTTCTTTCGCTCTTTTTGCTTTTATTAGGTCCATACTGTGTAGAAACTACCATCTGCACTCTTATTTGCTTTATAAAACATACAGAACTGGAAAAAATCGCCCTCCCACCCTCCCTGTTTTTCTTACTTAAGTAGGCTTGCAGGAATCTATATCGATTTTTTTATGTACATCGATTTTTTTTTAATTTAATTTATATCTATTTTATTTTTTTTTTATTAAACCCGTAAATAAAAACAATAAGCTTAGACAAACATCGACTCCCCACCCTCCCGGTTTTCATTGCAGAAGTAGATTTTGCTACTGCATTTTAAAATCATACTTGTTTCTCTTTATTACCGTCAGTTTTGTTAGTTGATCATTTAGGAGGCAAAGTTTAAATAAAATGGCGTGCACAGATACTGAAACTGGTGGCATCGCAAATGAAAATTCACCCTATCATAGGATGCCTACTTCTGCAAGCATTCTCGAAGGCCTTAATTCAATAACCACTATAGCGAATAACATAATCACAACCATATCGGCTGGCAGAAGTGTGACATCAGACAGCAAAAAAGCGATTATAGAAATGGCGCATGACATTAACAGAATCATAAGAGAAACACAAATAAAAACTGAATATACGGCAAGTATTATAGAGGTTAAAGAGTCGCTGCAAAATACTATTAAGGAAGAGATTTCCAAACTCTCGATACGCACTCAAACCAAATCCTATGCGAGTGTTGCTTCTACTCCTCGTCCTCCGCTGAGCAACCAGCACCCACACATGCATCAAAACCGGCTATTATTGTCACTCCTACTAATAAAGTTAATTCTCGACAAGAAGTTATCGAATCATGGCGCAAGAGTATCTGTTTTAAGAGTTGTAATTATGCACCCTCCAAATTGCAAGTCATATCAAATAATAAACTTCGAGTAGAATTCGATACATGCTCCCAGAGGGACGACGCTTTAGAACGTTTGAAATCTGCTACGACAGTTAACGCTGAAGCCGCGCGCAAAATGAACCCTATGGTCATCTTAAAGGGCTTATCAAATGACGTCCCATCAGAAGAGTTAGTCAGTATCATCACAGGGCAAAACGACGAATTACGGGACCTCATAAATAATACGGACGACGCTCTTTGCTTACGTTTTAAGAGGAAAAACAAAAACCCTAAATTATATAACGCAGTTTTCTTATGCAATCCTACGATATGGCGCAAAATAATGGATTCCGGAAGAATAAACGTTGATCATCAACGTATACATGTCGAAAATTTTTGCCCATTCATTCAGTGCTTTAGCTGTCTTCAGTTTGGACACGTTCAAGGCAAGTGCACCAATAATATCCATCCCTGCTCGCACTGTGCAGCAGGAAATCACACATACACAAACTGTCCAAATAAGGCGAATAAATCGGCTACTACGTGCTACAACTGCCAAATGCATAATAATAAGTTCAATACCAAATTTGACACACAACATGCAGCAACTTCCTTTTCCTGTCCTAGAGTCAAAGCCATGAAAGAGCGTATAAACCAGCGAATCGACTATGGATCAAACAAATAAAATGAAAATAATTCAGTGTAACATAGACCGATCCAAAAGCTGCCAACAAGAATTTTTACGATACTTTGCTGCAAACGATTACTCTATAGCAATAGTCTCAGAACCATATTTAGGAACCAAACAAAAAATGAAATCAATACAAGGCCTTTGCATATACCAATTCCCAGGTGACCAAAAAAGTCAAAGCTTGCATAATAGCTAAAAATAATTGTGGAACGTTAATAGGTATGACACAGTTTTCAACTTCTAACCTCTGCGTTGTCCAAATGACAATAGGCACAAGGAAATTATATATTGCATCAGCATACGTTGAGCCCCGAGACGATGAACACGCAACACTTGAGCGCTTAGACGCCTTTCTTAAATCAACCAATGACTCTCATCGTATAATATGTGGCGATTTTAATGGTTGGCACCCACTATGGGGTTGTGAAACAACTAACAAAAGAGGTCGCGAAGTGGCGGAACTTATAATAGGAAATTATATGTATATTTGCAACCAAGGAAGCATCCCAACGTTTGAAACCGTCACACATGGTAGAAATTGCTCCTCTATTATCGACATAACTTTTGCCTCAGGGTCTATATACGAGAAAATAAATAGCTGGAATGTTAACCTGGAGGCTTGTCCCTTATCTCAACATAATTCTATTGAATTTACGCTCAACCTATTTAACGTTAACACCACAAAAAGAAAAAACACATCCACATATCTGTATAAAAGTGAAAAAGCTAACTGGGCAGAGTTTAAGGCAGTCTTAGACCTCAAAATGTGCAATAACGGATGCCTAGACGTAGATATTCCCACATTAAATACCAACGAATTAGAATCCTTTATTACAAAAATTATCAGTACAATCCATGAAGCTTGTCGAGCATCCATGCCAATGAAGAACAACGTCACCCAATGTAAACCCATATGGTGGACAGACAAATTGGAAAAACTGAAAAAAGATGTTATCTCCCTCCATCATAAAATTCATCATACCAAACGCAAAGGGCTTGCCCTGGACCAACTGTTAGAAGAAAGAAGTAGAAAAAAGAAAGAGTACGGGGATGAGCTGCGGAGAACATCAACAGATAACTTCAGAGAATTCTGTGAACGGCAAGGTAAGGAGAATGTTTGGTCAGTGACCAACAGACTTTTAAAGGAGACAAAGTCTAATTGCTCACCGAGTACTCTAAAAGTAGGAAACAGCTATACTAATGATGAAAAAGAAACCGCAAAGGCACTACTAAATCATTTCTACCCTGAAGACAGTCCAGACTCTAATCCCGCACATGAACAACTCAGGAAAAATCGCGAACTATTTCCAAAAACAAATGACGACCCTCCCTTTGTTAAAGAAGAAGTTATAGAATGCATCCAAAACATGAATCCCAAACGAGCTCCTGGTATCGATAATCTAACAGCCGATATTTGCACTCAATTTTCTATAGCCTATCCAAAACTTATAACAGAAATAATGAACAGATGCTTGTCCCTCCAATATTTTCCACAACAGTGGAAAATCGCATACGTTAAAATCATTCCGAAACCCAATAAATCTGATTGTACTAATTTAAACTCTTTCCGCCCAATAGGTTTTCTTCCCGTGTTTGGCAAATTACTTGAAAAACTTTTCATAAATAGAATCAAATACCAGGCTACACGAGATGGCAGAATGAGCAACCGACAGTTTGGTTTCAAAGAGCAACTTAACACAACTGCAGCTATTGCCAATGCCATAAAAACCATCCAAAAAGCTAAAGAGAATAAACAACAGGTAATAGCCATCTCCTTGGATATCAAGGCAGCGTTTGATAACGCTTGGTGGCCCGCCTTACTTCACAGACTGCGATACATTCAGTGCTCTCGTAACATCTTCGGATTAATATGTAATTATATAGAAAATAGGAAAGTATCACTGAACTACGGAGGTACTGAGGTCACCAAAATGATGTCCAAGGGATGTATACAGGGATCAACTTGTGGACCAACTCTTTGGAATCTAATTCTCGACGAACTTTTGGAAACTCAGTTGCCAACAGGTTGTCACATCCAAGCCTTTGCGGACGATGTATTGCTTATTGCACACGCACACGATAAAAACGAATTAGAAGTTATTACTAATCAAGCACTATGCGAAATTGTACAATGGGGAGATAAAGTCAAACTCTCTTTTAGCCCTGAAAAGACACAGGCAATCGCTTTCACCCCAAAAGCCAAGTCAGTTAATTTAATGATGAACAAAATATTGCTTCCGTTTGTTAAAGAAATAAAATTATTAGGGGTCATCGTAGATACAAAATTAACTTTCAACAGTCACATTAAATATGTTACAAATAAAGCCATAAAAATATTTCACAAACTGTGTATTTACTGCAGACCAACCTGGGGTATTCAACCTGAAAATATAAGCATTATTTATCACCAAGTTATCGAACCTATCATCACATACGCTGCTGGTGTTTGGGGCCATGCTGCAAAGAAAAAGAGTTGCAAGCGATTGTTGGAAAAAACACAACGCTTGTTTGCGCTCAAAGCCATCCGAGGCTTCCGTACAGTCTCTACGAATGCTGCGCTAGCACTTTCCCAGTTCATGCCTTTAGACTTAAAAGTTACAGAAATAAATCAAATAGAAAACACTAGAAGTTCCGGAATCACCCAATATCTACCCGATGATATAACCCTTGAAAAGCCCACACCGATTCAAAATCTTCTACATCCTGCTGTCAGAGTTAAAATAGTGCCAGACAGTTTACAAACTTCAGAAGAAGACCCAAACAATTTTACACAACCAATTAATATATACACAGACGGAAGTAAATTGGAGAACGGAAGAGTGGGCGCCTCTTTTGTAGTTCTAACGAAAAATAAAAATACAATAACCAAAAAATTTAAATTACATGATAGCTGCACTGTATTTCAGGCAGAGCTTTTTGCCATCGATAGAGCTTGTACGTGGTCTTTGAAGAGAAATATCAAAAATATAAAAATTTTCACAGATAGTATGTCATCAATTCAATCAATATGTAACCGCAGTAATACTCACCCAATAGTTGCAAATATTCATAAAAACATAAATAAAATAAGAGAAGATGGTACAGTCGATATAACATAGGTAAAAGGTCATGCAGGCTCTGCCGGAAATGAAGCAGCTGATGCAGCTGCAAAAAGCGCAGCCAACTTAAAGAAAAATTTTGATTATACAAAATTTCCCATAAGCTTTGTTAAAGCAAAAATAAAAAAAGACAACCTCTATAAATGGCAAAACCGATATCACAGTGCACCACAAGGGAAACATACAAAAGAGCTCTTACCGGACCTGTTTTCCATTAAACGACTTTGGCAAACAACAAAAATTGACTTTAAATTAACCCAAATTCTCACAGGCCATGGTTTCCACAGAGAATATTTATACAGATTTAAGATTTCAAACACAGACACATGCCCTTGCAATAACCATAGTGTACAAAATATTGACCACCTTTTGAAAAGCTGTCCCAGATTTGGTGCACAGCGCATGGAACATGAATTACACTGTCAGATGCTTAAAGTCTCTCCATACAACATACAGGAGCTTGTAACAAAAGAAGGTGCAATAATATCGTTTGTGAAGTATGCTAGTTACATAATCGATAAACTGAAATCATTCAACAGTATATAGTAAAAATATTTAAAATAAATGAGTTCTAATTGAAATTGTGAATCACAAAAGTAATAGACTTAAACTGAAACATGCTTGGCAAAGGAATTGTATCCCATTCGCAATTCCGGCCGATCATGTAGTGAATTTCCTATGCGTATCAGTCCCGCAAGCGAACCAACGAATTTAATTAAAAAAAAAAAAAAAAAAAAAACCTAACCTAACCTAACCTAACCTAACCTAACCTAACCTAACCTAACCTAACCTAACCTAACCTAACCTAACCTAACCTAACCACCTGGAAGCGAAAAATACATATGAATATGAATCAAAAAAAGGCTCAGGTAAAAAGTTGGAAAGAGTTCTGCAGTAGACAGGACAGGGAAGGTTTGTGGGACGGGATATATCGGGTTATCGGCAGAACTACAAAAAGGCACGAAGATCTGCCTCTTTTGAAAGACGGGAAAATACTCGATAACACCGAATCGGCAAAAATGTTGGCTGAGACCTTTTATCCGGAAGACCTAGTTGAAGCTGATAACGCAGAACACCAGCGTATTAGGGAACTAGCAGAAAAAGTCAATGAAGGGACACAAGATAATTCTTGTGACCCACCATTTACAGTCGCTGAACTAAAACACGCAACCAACAGCTTCAACCCAAAAAAAGGCACCGGGCGGGGACGGATTTACTGCTGATATTTGCCGTCAAGTTATCCTCCATAATCCTGAGCTTTACCTGAGCCTAGCTAACAAATGCTTAGAGTTAGGGCACTTTCCCACTGTGTGGAAAGCAGCAGTAGTCGTGGTTCTGAGAAAACCGGGGAAAGAGGATTATACGCACCCCAAAGCCTATAGACCGATAGGCTTGCTATCAATTATGGGCAAAATCCTGGAGAAAATGACTATCAGGAGGATAAAGTGGCAAATTCAACCCGGGATGAGTACTCGCCAATACGGCTTCACGCCACAGAAAAGCACCGAAGATTCCCTCTATGACATGATGGAGTATATACAAACGCAACTACGAAATAAAAAGATAATTACCATGGTATCACTTGACATAGAGGGAGCCTTCGATAGTGCATGGTGGCCGGCCATTAGATGTCGATTGGCTGAGGAAAAATGCCCCACAAACATACGACGGTTGATGGATAGTTATCTCCAGGATAGAAAAGTTAACATCAGGTACGCTGGTGTAGAGCACCATCGGGCCACTTCAAAGGGGTGCGTACAAGGTTCCATAGGGGGACCGATACTGTGGAATTTGCTTCTTGACCCTCTTCTCAAGGAGTTGGAGGCGAGGGTTGACCGGTGTCAGGCTTTTGCTGACGATATCGTCCTGCTGTTTGCGGGGGACACGGCACTCGAGATTCAGAGGCGTGCAAATGCCGCTCTCGAGCATGTTCGAATGTGGTGAATTCGTAATAAACTGAACTTTGCGCCACAAAAGACCAAGGCTATGATATTAACCAACAAGTTAAAATATGATTCACCACGTCTGAGCATGGGCGGGATAGACATTGGCATGTCGGAAGAGATCAAAGTGCTTGGTCTTACCGTAGACAGAAAGCTCACATATAAAAGCCACGTCAGAAATGTCTGCAGGAAGGCCACAGATCTCTACTCACAACTATCGAGGGCTGCTAAAATTAGTTGGGGTCTTCAATCAGAAATCGTAAGGACGATATACGTCGCAGTTGTGGAACCGGTGGTGCTGTATGCGGCGAGTGTGTGGGCGCCAGCTGTTAGCAAACTTGGGGTCCGAAAGCTTCTTAACACCGTGCAAAGGGGATTCGCTCAGAAAATTATTAAAGCATATCGTACCGTGTCTCTACACTCGGCCCTTGCACTGGCAGGCCTGCTTCCTCTGGACCTAAGAGTCCAGGAAGCAGCATCCCTCTTTGTAGCTAAGAGAGGAAAGCTCCAGTCGCTGCTGGGGGACCGGGAGGTGGAGACAAGGGTGAATTTTGTGGAACTGCCCCACCCAGCATCTTATATGGACCTGGAATTCATATGCCTGGTAGACGAGAACGAAACAAAACTCAATAGCACACAGAGTCTCCGAATATTTACCGACGGGAGCAAAATAGAGGGAAAGGTCGGAGCAGCACTTTCTATTTGGAATAGTGAAGCCGAGATCAGAGCTCTAAAGCTTAAACTGTCGGACTACTGTACCGTGTACCAGGCGGAATTACTGGCCATATACAGTGCAACTGAGCGAATTCTCAATAGCACTGAAGTAAGCTTTGGAGTTTACAGTGATTCAAGATCAGCTCTCGAGACCATTGTAAACCACGACTCCCAGCATTCCCTTGCAGTAAAGACCCGCAAAAATATACAAAACATCGTAAAGCAACAAAAAAAGCATTCAACTTTTTTTGGATAAAAGCCCATGCGGGTCTGGCAGGGAATGAACGAGCTGACGAATTGGCTAAGCTCGCCGCACTGCAGAAAAAAGGTAAGCCAGATTACGACCTGTGCCCGGTCTCCTACTTAAAGCGTCTCATCCGGGAAGAATCCGTAGAAAAATGGAACCAAAGATACGCAGAGAGTGAAACGGGTCGAATCACAAAGAAATTCCTCCCATGTGTAAAAGACGCCTATAAGGTAACTAGGGCATGGTGGTTTCTCCGAGTATCTGTACCGATTCCAATGCAAGGAGAACCCTTCATGCGTCTGTGAGCCAGAAGTGGAAGAGACAGTGCTACACGTACTTTTGGAATGTCCTAGGTTCGGCAAACAAAGGCACGATTTTGAAATGTTAATTGGAGAAAGACTCGAAGAAGCTAAATTACAAACATTGTTGGGCAATAAAACTACTCGAAACAAATTCATTAAATTCTGCGAAGGAATAATCAATAGGGTCGTAAAAAATAACCGAAATTAAATAATATATTTTAAAAATATTAAATTTTTGGAATTTTATATCAAACTTTATACTGTAAGATATTTATTATCTTAATATTAATTGAAATTTAATTGTTTTAATTCACCAAAATAAACTTAGGGCAAGAATTGCAAATGCAAGATAGCCACTCGGGACTTCCTTGTGAATATAGAAAGTATATTCAGAGAGAAAGAACCGCTTTTAATGTAATTAATGTAATAATGATCATGTACGAATAGTGTGTTGCTCTAAATAAAAAACAATAATGTACTTTAAGATAAATTTTAATCAAGTAATTAATTAAGTGACAAATTTACAAAAAAGGACTGTAAAATTAAATATCAGATTTTGTAAGCATTAGATTAAGAGTAGAAGGACTCCCGAACGAAAACCCGGATTCCTCTACACCCTATACAATAGCAAGGACAAGAAAATAAAAAACTAGAATTAAAAGTCCATGTCGAGCTGACAATGTCTCTGACCACCTATGTCAGAGGAAAACAGCAACACATACAATAATAAACCTAACCTAACCTAACCTAACCTAACCTAACCTAACCTAACCTAACCTAACCTAACCTAACCTAACCTAACCTAACCTAACCTAACCTAACCTAACCTAACCTATATTGAACAGGTTCACATTGCATGCCAAGTAGCAATTCCACTTATCTCCAAGAAGGTATATACAACTAGTACCCCCTGGTGGACTAAAGAATTAGATATTGAGAGGAAAGAAGTTATTCGACTTAGAAGAAAAATAAAATATGCAAATGAAAAGCGAAAGCCCTACATTGTTCAAGAATTTATTACAGCAAAAGAAAAATACGTTCATAACATAATATCAACGATGAACACAAGCTGGAAAGAACTGTGCTCAAAACAGGAAAAAGAAACAATATGGCAGAGTGTCTATAGAGTTATTAGGAGATGCAGCACTACAAACGAGGACAAGCTCTTGCGTTTTGGCGAACGGACTCTGAGCCCAAATGAGTCGGCCTCTTTGTTAGCAAAAACGTTTTACCCTGATGATGACTATAATAGAGATACAGAAGAACAAAGAAACATCCGAGCAGAAGTTGATATAATAATTAGAAGCCTCAAAAATTACACAGATACTACTTATATAAAATTCACTGAAGTAGAAATAGAGATGGTATTTCAGAAAATGAATCCCAAAAAGGCACCTGGGGAGGATGGTATGACGTCAGATATCTGTTATGAGAGCTATAAAACAACACCATCGACGCTTTTGGCTATTTATAATAAATGTCTTGAAATAGGCTATTTCCCCAAGACATGGAAAAAAAGCAATTATAAAAATTATTCCAAAGCCTGGAAAAGAAGACTACACTGTACCTAAAGCATATCGTCCAATTGGCTTGTTGCCAGTATTTGGAAAAAATTTTAGAAAAGCTCTTTGTAGGCAGATTACTCTGGCAGCTTGGAAAGGAAGGAAAATTCAGCAATCGACAATATGATTTTATGCCACAACGTAGTACAGAGGACGCACTATATGACATAATGACAGTTATAAAACAAGGCATAAAAGAAAAGAAGATAATTGTTATGGTGTCCCTCGACATAGAAGGGGCTTTTGACAATGCTTGGTGGCCCCAAATAATAAAAGAAATCCAACGGAAAAATGTGAACATACACAACCTGAGGCTCATTACCAGCTATCTGTCATCAAGGAGTGTTATAGTGAAATATGCAGGAGCAATGGCCACCAAACCTACTACCAAAGGATGCATACAAGGATCGACTTGCGGACCCATACTCTGGAACATCCTTCTCGACCCCCTTCTTGAATTAAGTTCAGATATGAATGTACATCTTCAGGCATTTGCCGACGATATTCTTATCATCGCAAAAGGAAACTCAGCAAAAGATGTAGAAGACAAACTTAATCCGGCTTTAGAGAAAATAGTGACATGGGGTAAAACGCACAAATTAAATTTTGCACCACATAAGACCCAATCTATCGTAATAACCAAAAAGTTATCTTACGAACTACCTATAATTAAAATGGACAAAATTATTATACAGCCATCTACAAGTCTAAAAGTACTTGGCGTTACAATCGATAAAAATTTAAACTTCGTAGAACATCTAGATGAAGTCCTCGGGAAGGCAATAAAACTTTACAAAATGATAGCAAGAACAGCTAAAGCTCATTGGGGACTTAATTCTGATATAGTGAAAACAATATATATAGCAGTAGTTGAACCAACCATCCTTTATGCAGCAAATGTCTGGGCTATGACGATGAAAAAAGAATACATGAAAAAAAGATTGGAGCGCATAACAAGAATGTTTGCAATCAAAATATGTAAAGGTCAAAGAACAGTCTCGTTCACGTCTAGTGTTATACTGGCAGGTATACTCCCTCTCGACTTAAGAGCAATGGAACGCCTTTCGCTCTACGAAATAAAACGGGGAAAGCCGATGAACCAACTTCCGGGAAGAGACATCGAAAGACCCATAAGTTCTTTTTGTCTACCCCATCCTGCTGAAAGATGTCGCATGTCTTTTGAGCTTATAAGCTCTCCAGATCAGGAACAAGCAATAGACCCCTTTAAGCCAAGGCTATATACGGATGGAAGCAAGCTGGAAGGGAAAGTTGGTGGCGCTGTCAGTGTATGGAAAGATGGCAGGGAAATACGTAAGTCTACTTTTCGGCTAGAAAGTTATTGTAGCGTTTACCAGGCAGAGCTTACCGCAATACTAAAAGCGCTAGATATGATGTGCAAGTTCAACGAATTGAGGAAAGGAACAATCCTTAGTGACTCACGTTCAGCTCTTGAGTGTCTGACCGACAACTCGTCCCTCCATCCTCTGGCAGCTGAAATAAGAGAGCGCAGAAGATCATTAATAAATAAAGACGGCGAGGTAAAATTTTACTGGATAAAGGCACATATCGGTATACCTGGCAACGAGAGGGCTGATGAGCTTGCCAAAAAGGCTGCACTATCCAACAAACAAGCACCAGTTTATGACAAGTGTCCGCTGTCCTTCGCGAAGCGACTAACCAGGGACTCCACCTGCGTGAAATGGCAGCAGCGATATAGCGAAGCAGCAACAGGCGCGGTCACGAAAAATTTCTTCCCAGACGTAAAAGAAGCTCACAAGACACTGAAACAGATAAGAATGGACAATATTAAAGCTCAATTATTAACTGGTCATGGAGGATTTAAGGCTTATTTGTTTAAGTTCAAGTTGGCGCAATCCCCATTTTGTGTTTGCAGTAATGAAGTAGATGAAAAAATTGAACACCTGCTAATAGATTGTCCTAGATTTACTATTCAAAGAATGGAATGCGAACATAGGATGGGAATTGCAATCAATTTAACAAATTTAAAGTATGTAATTAACAACGATGACTGCCGTATCCATTTTCTTAAATATGCAGAATATGTCGTTAGGTGTGCAGGAAAAGCGAATGGATCGAAGGTAGATATCTAATTTAAAAAAAAAATATATAGATTTGTAATTATATAATAAAAATGTGTTAGATATTAATAATAAATGTAGACGAGCAATTAATAAAAACATATAGAGCTATAATTATTTTTCATTGTATAACATAGTATAGGAAATGGTTGTAAATGGTACTTGCTGTAATAGTATTCCATAACAACATAATAATATGTATAATATATAGACAAGGAAAATTAATAATAAAAAAAAGAAAAAAAAAGTAAAAATAAAATGTAAGGAAAAAAAAGTATTATTTTAGAAGTAGATGTACATTATATTAGATAACGGGTGGCGCACTAAATAGCTTAATTAAACTTAATTTAAGTACCATATTTTATATAACTTTTCAATAATTGCAAGAAAACAGTAAAATAATGTTATCTCTACCATCTAGAATACTGTTGAATAAATGAGAATGATAATAGAATAAAATATCAATATGTAATGGTAAATTTGAAACGAATACATGAACAGTAACAATAATAAATGTTAAAGGAAAATAATTGTAAACAGTAAAAGATAAGGTTGAGAGAAAAAAAAAATATAGAAAAAAAAACAGAGAAAAAAAAAACAAAAAAAAGCAAAAAAAAAAATCAAACGTTAAATCTTAAGTTAGGATATATAATTTGATAAGTAGGCTATTAGTAATAAGAATAAATTAAGTTGTTAAGTGAAAAATATATATATATATAAAAAAAAAAAAAAAAAAAAGAGGCATATAAGTATAAGTAATAAACAAGACAGTAGAAAAGGGTGCTGCATGTATAGCAGCAGTAACAGAGAGTTTAAAAAAAAAAAAAAAAAAAAAAAAAACCTAACCTAACCTAACCTAACCTAACCTAACCTAACCTAACCTAACCTAACCTAACCTAACCTAACCTAACCTAACCTAACCTAACCTAACCTAACCTAAACTAACCTAACCTAACCTAACCTAACCTAACCTAACCTAACCTAACCTAACCTAACCTCGACAGGCACGATCTGTTCCGACTGCACTACACTCGTCCAAATCTAGTGGCTAATATCAACCAGGAATGGCTCTGCACGCACAGAAACCCACTGGATGTAGCATATGCACTAAACGAAATCTATGATGGCATATACTCATCCAATACTAGGTTGCGATCTCTAAAGCTAAAGAGGTACATGGGTTCACAGATCCCAAAGTCCCTTGAAAACACCTTATACTTGGGACACACCCAGGCTGAAAAGGAAAATCTCATCAGCCAGGGCTACGGAAAAGGGAAGGGATCGCGAACTCTAACCATACATGAAGCTCAGGGGCTCGTGAGCGAGACGGTGGTAATCGTGCGATCTAATAGAGAGAAACAACGCCTATATAACAGTATTCCTCATGCAGTGGTGGCAATCTCGCGCCATACGAGCAATTGCATCTACTACACCGATTGGTGTGAGGAAGATGCAATTGCCTGTTTCATTTTGCGCGCCGAGGCTGCCACCACAAGCAGAATTAGTGATTACAACATGAAAATGGCAATACATCATCGAGACTTAAAGGTTGCAAGAAACATTATGAACGTGGTCCGAGACGAAGCGGCATAAACGACAATCAAACGGATGTTAAATGACATAACCGCAACAATTTTACTTACAATTAAAATTGGAAAATTTTTGTGAATTATAGTTATGTTAGTTATAAATTAAGTATTGAGTATAAGATGTTTAATATCCATAGTTTAAGATTCATGAAAAAAAAAATTATGTATTAGTTATAATTTAGTTATAAGTATATTGACAAAAGTTTTAAAACCATAGTTTAAGATGCATGGAAAAAAAAAAGAAAAAAAAAAGAACAATAAACAAACCAAAAAAAAAAAAAAGAATAAGAATAAGAAAAAAAAATTGCGGAAAAAAAAAAGAACACTAACCGTTAGATATAAGGCATGATATTATAATCTATGTTAATGGGAAAATGTATATTCAAAAAACGCGGAGAGATGTTATAGCTTAGAAACTACATATGTAATGTCATAACAATTACAAAAAAAAAATGTAATAAAGGGTACGGACTACGAGTCTGTAGAGTAGAAATAATAATTATAAAAAAAAAAAAAACCTAACCTAACCTAACCTAACCTAACCTAACCTAACCTAACCTAACCTTTTTTTTTTTTTTTACGTGGGGAAATCCTCATGGATACCCGTCTGTCGTGTAGGCGTCAGACAGGTTATGCCGGACTCCTACCGGCTAAAACCCCACTGTTTACATCTCATCACCTTTTGTCAGGGCTACGGGAACGCTTTCGCATACTACCGCAATCCCGACGGCAACAGCCCTTACAGGCTCCGACTCGACGACTTCTTCTTGGAGGGGCGTACCATCACACCGTACGCGCCACCTCGAGGCCCTGCATAATAGGTGACGGACAGCCCCCTGTGTCCGCCCCCTAAGCCTCAATTACGGGGGGGTGGAAGAGAGCCTGATATGCTCTTCTCCGGCGCCCAGCTCTCCGGCTGCGGATTGGGATTGTTGCCGTCTTTTCCCTCTCCCTCTCCGCAACTTCCTTTTGTGACATCACTTTTTCGCAAAATGTTACCCCAGCACTCCACGCCCTCTCGCATCCAACCATAGCTTTAATAAAAGCTGGGAGCGAGAGGTCATCCCCACTACAGCCACGAGGTCCCGACGCAAGTCAGCCCAAGCCGGGCAAACCTCAAGGGTATGCTGCGCCGTGTCCTCGTCGCTACCACAGTGATGGCACTCAGTTGTCGGCTCTCTTCCGGCTATACGGCACAGATACTTACCGAAGCACCCATCCCCGGAAAGCACCTGCACCAGCCGGAAGGTCAGTGACCCATGCCGCCTGTTTGTCCAGTCTAACATGACCGGAAGAACAGCATCGACAGTTCTGCTTCCTGCCTTCGGGTGGGCTAGACGCTCCTTCCACTTTTCAAGCACCAGTTGCCGAGTGTGGAGCTTTCGCAATTGCCACTCTCTGGGAGAGGGGGGACATCCTCGGTGTCGAAGTTCCAAGCGCCAATCGTACATAGACGCAAGGAACTCCGCCTCTATATCCCAGGGTGGGGACGCCGCCAAAACGCATGCCGCCTCAAAGGAGATCGTCCGGTATCCTCGCACGACTCCGACGGCCATCGCCCTCTGGGGCCTTCTCAGGAAGGCGATGGTTCTTTCCGTCAGAGCCCCAGCCCATATAGGGGCCCCATATAAAGCCATGGACCGAACCACCCCCAAATAGAGACGGCGGCAATTCGCATCGGGCCCTCCGACATTGGGTAGCAACCTTTTTAAGGCAGCTGTTGCTCTCATTAGCCGGGGGGCCAAGCACCTAAAGTGCTCGCGGAAGCTCCAACGGCTATCCAGGATGAGTCCAAGGTACCTCATATTAGACCCAACCTGAATACGGACATCACTGACAATGATGTGGGATCCCTGTGGCGGTGCTTTTCGAGGCCTGTGAAAGCAGATGGCCTGGGACTTGCTTAACGCCACTTCCAGCCCCAACATCCTAATTCTGCCAACAACCAGTGCCACTGACGTAGTGGCAATACGAACGGCTACCTCATAGGTCACCGCCCGGGCAGTGACCAGAGTATCGTCTGCATAGCAGATTATGCCAGCACCCGGGGGAAGGTCTCCCCGCAACACCCAGTCATAACCGACGTTCCAAAGAAGCGGTCCTAAAACCGAGCCTTGTGGAACGCCGCACGACATTACTCTCCTTAATATCCTGCCTTCCCGCCCAGGATAGCAGACACATCGCTCAGAGAGATAGCTCCCGATTATTCGTCTGAGATAGGGAGGCACCTTGTGGTACTTCAGTGCCTCGCTGATGCACTCCCAGGGCATGGTGTTGAAAGCGTTGGCAATATCTATAGACACTGCCAATAAAACCCCAAAGGCGCCCTTGCTAAAATCTCGTCCGAATGGGCCTTGACGCATTTAATCTATTTCTAAAGGTCTATCGTTGACCGACCCATTCAAAAGCCAAACTGCTGGTCTGACAAATCGGGACCCATCTCTTCGAGATGCCCGATAAGACGACGGGCTATTATTCGCTCGAAGAGCTTATCTGCTTCATCGAGCAATACTACAGGGCGGTAGGCGGAGGGAGAGTCGGCGGGGCACCCATCCTTCTTCAGAAGGACTAGCCTGCCCGTTTTCCACTGTAATGGGAACCGTCCCATCTCCAGACAGGCATCAAGTAGCCTGCGGAATCGTTCCCCTAGTTCCTTGAGGGCTAAAACCTAGGCGCGGCCAGGAATGCCGTCGGGACCTGGAGCTTTGTTTTTTTTTGCTCGGAGTTTTAAGACTACCGCACCAAGTTCCTCCTGCGACACTTGTGGCACCTCATTCTGTCCTTCTTCCATCTCCTGTACAGAGGCCATTGCTGGTGGTAACCACTCTGCCCGATCTGGAAATAGCACGTTCACCACATCCTTAACAAATTGAGGTTGGAGACTCTCCGTGAGTGGAGGCGCCCAAGATCGAAGTTTGCCCCTGACCATCTTATACGGACGTCCCCATGGATCTTGGTTGAGGGTCTCTAAGAGCTCCTCTCTTGAGCGTGTCTTAGCCTCGCGAATGGACAGCTGCAGAATTTTCCGGCATTCTCTATACTTTTCGTATAGCTGTTCTTCTACAGTATCGTTACGAAGCCGTCTTCTGCGATATCTGGCGTACAGGCGCCTCGCTTTCACACAGTTAGTGCGTAAAACTGCTATCTCTACAGACCACCAGTACACCTGGCGCCTAGGAGGTGGGTGTTTGGCGCGGGGCATGCTTGCGTCACAGATGTGTGTCATAGCATCCTGAAACCAAGTTGTCTCCGTCTCAACCTCTACAGGCCCATTTGGTGGGGACAGCCACGATTGGACAATAGAGGCTTCAATGACAGCATCTCTACTCATACTTCTCAATACCCATCTTTTGGTTAATGATGGGATATGTCTTCTGACCGGACGACCGACGCTCGGAGTCTCTGGAGAAGTGGAGACATCGAAACGAATGTAACGATGGTCCGACAACGTTTCCACGTTCTCCAAAACTCTCCAGCCATGAACGCGGCTTGCTGTGGCAGGGGATGCAAACGAGACGTCTACGATAGATCCTTCCTGTCTCCGCACGCATGTGTAGACCGATCCCTGATTCAGCACTGTTAGGCCCATTATAGTCACCCAGTCCTCTAGTGCCTCGCCACGCGCATCAGTCATAGGAGAACCCCAGACAGTAGATTTAGCGTTAAGGTCTCCCATGACAAGTACTGGGCGAGGTAGTATTTGCCCAATAAGAGCCCCCAAATCGCTCAAGAATGTCTCAAATTCGGCAAGGCATCTGTTTGGAGAGAAGTATAACCCAATGAGAATTATTTCCCTCCATAGAATTGCCACATATCCCTTACCTCTCGCAACTATTGTGGAAGGTGGGACGCCTGCAGCCGTCGACGATATGATGGCCACTAAGCCATCGATGTCACCTACCCAGTTGTTCCTGGAAGCGACGAAGTATGGCCCGCCGACCACCGCTATATCAATCATCCACTGTGCCATGCTCTGCAAAAGCAAATCCTGTGCGCCGGCACAGTGGTTGATGTTGGCCTGAAGGAGACGATAATTACAATTATCAGCCATCATGTTACTGGACTGCCATCGCCTCCTCCATTTGAGGTTGCGTAGGCGGGGTCCTTTCACCCACTATAACGCCCTTTCTTCTTTGTTTTGGAGGCGAGCACCTCTTGCTCCCCAGTACGTGGTCAGCCGGCCTGTTTGCTGCAATACACAGGGAACATTTTGGCGCAGCCGTGCACTTCGCTGACTTATGGCCAGTCTGGCCACATCGGTAGCAGTCATTACTACGGTCCACATCTGAAGTGCACTGCGCGCGCACATGTCCATTATGCAGACACTTATAGCACCGTAATGGTCTATGTGGCAATATTTTCACCTGTGCTGCCACCCATCCGATCAAAAGACGCCCGCCCCCTTCAACTTTCTTGGCTGCAGGTACCGGGCAGCTCACCCAGATAGTACCAGTGCCAGAGCTTGTACTGCGGATTTCGCCTACTTTCACCATTTCTGCAGGACATTCCCCTTGCTGTGCAATGGCAGCAACAACTTCCTCTGTAGTTATAGAGTCGTCCAGGCCAGAGATGCGCATCTCTGCACATTTCGTTGGTCTAGATACTCTAGCCACCTCCTCAGGCAACGACTCCTTTAATATCTTAGCCAAGGAGTCAGCTTTATCGCCGCTCGTTGCTCCTGGTATCTCTAAAATGCGGGCTCCAGTGGCCGCCTGTCGGTACCGCAGAGATTCGATACCGAGGCTAGCAAGGTCGATCTTCTTTCTAGCCTCTGTCAGCACCTTTGCATAAGTGAGGCCACGATCTTCAGCTCCGGACTGCAGTGTTATAACTACAGCCGCGGATTTTGGGGAGCGCAGTTTCACAGATGCTGGTCTCTTGGAAGGATTGACGGTTCCTGCCTTGCGTTTTTTACCTCTTCTCACTACTGTGATCCATCCTTCTTCCGTGGACTCAGGAGGTTGAGGGCGTGATTCTGTTGGCTGGTTGGTTGCCATTTCTGTTGTTCTCCCTTCGTGTCCCTTTCCCTTTCTGTTTCCTCTTTGTATTTCCAGCGCCGGAATTTTCTTGTTGCCTATTCTTGTTTTTACGGCGTATTTGTCAGCCTTCGTAATTGTATCAGACTTCCGCCGTAGTATGTCTGCATCATTTACTACATCTCTGCGCACATCAGCAGCCAGCGGAGGGCGAACACGCTTTTCTGGGAGAAGCCGCTCCTCAAGCGCCTCCAATCGCGCATTCATCATGTCACCAACTTGGCGCATAATGGAACTTATCAATTCCTCACTTTCCTTGTCTCCTCGCACCTGAGGAGGTGGTGGAGCAGGTGTTTTATTGATCCTCGCCATTTCAAGCCGGATTTCAGATAGCTATTTACGAAGCTCCTCTAATTCACTGCGCAGGCAGGTGTTTTCAGCCTGCAATTTCGCCGTTTCTTCATTCACTGACCTCTTATGTAGGACCTCCACGACTGTTTTTATTGACGTGGCAGCATCCTTTAAGGCACGTTGAAATGTGCCTTTCAGATTTCTCGACTTGGCTGCTACCATCAGTATGACTCCGACATCGTCGAGAACCTGTTGGTTGAGAGCCATTGCCGAACGGTTGTCATCTCCGACTAAATTAGGTAGCCCCAGGGCAGTTCGTTTTTGATTTGCAGCACAAACCATTTGTTCCACTTGCCTCTCAGCCATACTAAGAGCTTCCTCAGGCCCTGGCACTACGAACTCTCCAGAATTATCCATTAATGGTGTCACCTCTTTTCCTGTCTCAGAATTCGTCTCTTTTAAAAAAGCTTCATTGTCGCTGGACGATATTGATTTTGTAATACGTCTCTTTTTCGCCCCACGGGAGCGACCTCCAGACTTAGAAACTGTCCTTGATACATCGCTACATAGGCTTGCATCTGATTCCGATCCAGCCTGCTTATCTCCTCCTGATGTTTTATAATTTTTATATTTTTCCATTTTTTTTCCCACGAGTGTGGAGGAAGTAACGGTCCATCCGAGCAGAGCCCCCTTTGCCCGGATAAGCCTATGCATAACCCGTCAAGGGTGTCGGCCGGTACCCTGACGGGGGGCAACGCTAACGACTGAACATTTACCCATCAGCCATGCAGCTCCTCACGGCGTGCCACGCTTGAGCTTCGGGTGATTTTTTATAGAGGTTATCATCCTCGCGACTCCAGGCGGTTAAGCCAAGAGCCCTCGGCCCCTCAGGCGCCGCGAGACATGATCCACGACACGCCAAAGGGATTCCGAGGTTCGAACGGTGGCAGAGTCGATACAGGTTCTTCCCATGCCTGCCCAGAGACCGGGTGAGGGAACCCTGAGCCCATTCAATTTCCTTTTTTTTCAGGATGTAGTCCCTGAAAATCCCGCGCTGACGCGCTGCCCGGCGTCGGCAAAAGTTGAGTGCACCTGGCATCTCACCGCGCATGTCACATTCTCTGTTCCTCTCAATGGAGAGGATACGGGAAGCAACAAAAGTACCTCGTACCTATGATTCCATTCGGAACCACAGGTACGCCCAAACCCAGCCAGTTTTGGTCCGCGACGGTTTCCCGCTACCACTCATATCTGAGTGGCATTCCCCTATCCGCCACCTGGGGACGCGCCCGATGGGAGGACTGGCAACTCCACAAGGGAACCTAACCTAACCTAACTAAACCTAACCTAACCTAACCTAACCTAACCTAACCTAACCTAACCTAACCTAACCTAACCTAACCTAACCTAACCTAACCTAACCTAACCTAACCTAACCTAACCTAACCTAACCTAACCTAACCTAACCTAACCTAACCTAACCTAACCTAACCTAACCTAACCTAACCTAACCTAACCTCAACTATAAATTCGCTAATAACTTTTCTAAAAATTGGTATTTTTCGTTCAAATCTTTTTTAAATTGTGTAGTTAATTGCTCCCCACATTTCCTTATAGTTTTCTCAGTAAATTCGTAACGTTATATATTTTATTTTCATATTTTCAGTCTATACTTTCTTAAATTCATCAATAAAAACACGTATTCATCTATAGCACGGCTGAAAATTGGCCTTTTCCTTTTAAATTTTCTATTTAAATAGTGTAACTAACTGCCCCCCGTAATCCTATATAGTTTTCTTGGTTAATTCCTAAAGTTATATATATAATTTTCATATTTTCAGTCTATTTCTTTCTTAAATTCATCAATAAAAACACGTATTCATCTATAGCACGGCTGAAAATTGGCCTTTTCCTTTTAATTTTTTTATTTAAATAGTGTAACTAACTGCCCCCCGTAATCCTATATAGTTTTCTTGGTTAATTCCTAAAGTTATATATATAATTTTCATATTTTCCGTCTCTTAATTACGTAAATTCATTAATAAAAACACGTATTCATCCATAACTCGGCTGAAAAGTGGCCTTTTCCGTTTAAATTTTCTTTTTATATAGTGTATTTAACCGGCCCCCGTATTTATCTATAGTTTTTATAGTAAATTTCTGTCGCTAAAATATTTATTTCCACAAAATTCGTTTTCCTATACTCGTAATTTCCTAAAATTTTTAAAATTTTTCAAATCTTCATTTATTTCGCTCTTTTTGCTTTTATTAGGTCCGTCTAGTGTAGAAACTACCATCTGCACTCTTATTTGCTTTATAAAACATATAGAACTGGAAAAAATCGCCCCCCCACCCTCCCTGTTTTTCCTATTTAAGTAGACTTGTAGGAATCCTATATCGATTTTTTTTTTATATCGATTTTTTTTTATATCGATTTTTTATTTATTTATTTATATTGATTTTTGTATTTCTTGCACCTGTGAGTAAAAACACCTAGCTTCGACAAAAATAGACCACCCACCCTCCCGGTTTTACCTCCCTAAGTAGACTTGTATTATTATATTGTATAAAAGTATTATTTGATCCTCATTTTTTCCCCTTAATATGGCTCCATTAGATAAAGACATACCACGACTTCCTTGCGACGTTAGTAATATAAAAAATCTTGACACATACATAGAAGTTATCAATCAGTTGACCACATGTATCTCTAACGCGGTAAACGAGGGAAAAAGCGTCACAGCTGTTAACAAACGCCTTATAAATCTGGCAGCTGAAGAAATCCGAAGAGCCTCAAACAGCCTTTCCACTGTACTATCAGCGAAAGCTTCACATGTCGAGGAACAGTCTTTGAAAAATGATATTTTAACCAGCGTTAGAGAGGAAATCAAAAAGCTTAAAGAAGTGCTAACTCCCACTTCCAATGCGCCTGGCCCTACATACGCGGAAGTGGCATCTATTGCCCCAAAAAAACCAGCAATTGTTATCAAATCTACAAACCCTACAGCAAAATCTTCCGACATTCTCGCTACCTGGAAAAAGAACATTTCATTTAAGAAAGAAAAATATGCACCTGTTAAAATGCAAACAATATCAAATGGGAAAATTCGCGTAGAGTTTGAAAACTACAAGCAATGCGAGGAAGCCATTACCAAAACTAATCAGGTAGAAGGGTTACAAGCCGAAGAGTCCAAAAATAGAAGTCCTCTCATTATTCTTAAAGGAATTACAAAAGAAACGGCAAAAGAAGAACTAATTGAAATTATTTCCTACCAAAATTCGATCCCTGAGGACGCATTACGTCTTTGTTTCCTTACTTCAAATAAGAATAACGCTTTATACAATGCAGTTTTGGAAGTGACACCTAAATACTACACAACTATTACCACATACGGACGAGTAGCCATTAATCATCAACGAGTGTTTGTCGGGCCTTTCTCGAGATTTGTTCAATGCCATCTGTGTTTACAATTTGGACATACAAAAACGAAATGTGCCATAACAATTCACCCATGCGCGTTTTGTGCCTCAGAAGACCACAATATTATGGACTGCCCAAACAGAACCTCTGACGAAAAACGAAAGTGCTACAACTGCCACAAACATAATTTGAAGACCAACGCCAATGCCGACATTAGACATAATGCAACAAATGTAAAACTGTGCCCTAGAATCATCTCTATTAAAAAGAAATTAGAGGAATCTACTGATTATGGACTTACAAACTAATCACCAAATGAATAAGTATCAGAGAAAGAGTAACATATCTGAACAGAGCAATAAAATACATCTCAATAATAATTGCAATAAAACGTCTAATAATGGCATTAGATTCATCCAATGCAATTTGGGCCGAGGATATAATGCCCAACAAGAATTATTAGCATATTGTCGCTCAAATAGTGTACAAGTAGTCTTTATAAATGAACCATATATCGGAAATAATACAATTATGAACAAAACACCCGGCTACACAACATACCAATTTCCTCATAACCGTCATGTAAAGGCTAGCATTCTGATTAAAGAAGGTCTTGGCAGCTGCCTCGGGATTTCAAAATATTCAACGCCAAATTTATGTATAGTACAGCTCATCACTTCTGGGAAAAGAATATTTCTAACTAGCATTTACGTAGAGCCCAAAGACGATGAAAATGAAACATTGAACCACTTGGAACAATTTATAATTGAAACAGGAGACGCCATTCATATTATCGCGGGAGACCTAAATGGCTGGCACCAACTTTGGGGATCTCCCACAGCGAATAAAAGAGGTAAAGAAATAGTTGATATTATTATTCCTCACAATCTTACCATCAATAATACTGGCACAGATCATACATATGAAACTACAGCGGATGGAATTCTACGTGGTTCCATCGTTGATCTCACCATAACTTCATCCTCAATCTCGAATCATATTATTAATTGGCAAATAGATAATTCTATATGTCCCTCCTCTGATCACCATGGTATCAAATTTGAATATTTCCTTAATAAAAATCATATCCGTCAGAATAAGAAAAAATCGACTTACCAATATAATACTAATAATTTTAAGCAATGGGAAAAACTAAGCGAAGCCTTTTCCAGAGAAATTGAACTGACCCAACTTAACAAAATTGACATCCTATCCTTAGATCCAAATAACTTACTACACTTTATTGATGAAATAACCGCGTTTATTCACAAAATTTGTAAAAAGTATCTTCCCCACTCTTCTATTCGTCCTGAGCGCCCTTCTTGGTGGACCGAAGACTTAGAAAAATTAAAAAGAAAAGTTCTTGACAACCATCACCTGCTTCAAAAACTTAGTCGAAAACGTCTTCCAATGAACGAAGCAATTACAAACAAGACCCAACTCCGAAAGGAATACGCCGAAGCAATCAGAAAGGCCTCAACTGAAAACTTCCGTGAATTCTGCAACAAACAAGGTAAGGAAGATGTGTGGTCAGTTACAAATAGATTGCTGAAGAATTCAATCCCAACCCTACCACCTTCCACCCTCAAAATAGCACCAAACAAATATACTACTTCTTCTGAAGAAACAGCCCATATATTTCTTCAAAAATTTTATCCAGAGGACACCATTGACACATATAGTTCCCAAACCGTCACCCGACAAACCATAAAATTTCCACCGAATACAAATGATGATCCTCCATTTACTATTGATGAAGTCCTCCATAACCTCAAGGATATGAACCCTCGAAAATCACCTGGACCAGATCACCTTACCTCCGACATATGCTTCTGTTTCACTCAAACATTCCCAGAACTAATAACGAATATCATGAATAGATGCCTAGCTTTATCAATATTCCCTAGACAGTGGAAACATGCGCAAGTAATTATTATTCCTAAGCCCAACAAACTTGACTATACTGAAATCTCAGCTTATCGCCCCATCGGACTGCTTAATGTTTTTGGTAAACTCCTTGAAAAGTTGGTCATCAAACGACTAAATCATTTTATTTACACTAACAACAAATTCAATAGTAAACAATATGGGTTCAAGGAACAAAGGTCAACGACAGAAGCACTTAATAATATGATTACATTTGTTAGAAATTGTAAAATCAAGGGAGATCAAGTTGCCGCTGTCTCTTTGGATATTCAGGCGGCATTTGACAATGCCT